TTCGCTCCTTTTCCTCAGCTTTCACATCACAACACCAGAGCCTACGGATCCACAGGGCACGGTCTGCTCCAAACACAAGGCTGGGCAACACCGCTGGTTCAGCAACACTTAACCAGCGACTATGGAAAATAACTCAGAGCCACAACAGCACCTCTAGTGGAAGTAAGATGCAAAGTGTTGGCAGAACACGTCAAAAGAATTCCAAGAGTGTCAGTGATCGTGGAAGGTGGAATTTCATGCTGGAAGTGCATTAAAAGAATGTGTGTGTGTGTGTGTGTGTGTGTGTGTGTGTGTGTCGGTGGAGTGTGCGTTCAAAGCCAGCAGGCAGGGCCGTTGTGATAATTGCTGGGACTCTTAACCGGCACACGCTGCTCGTGGGGCTGGAAGTGCGTTACAGGGGCATCGTGTAAACCTACTGTGACATGTTGGGAGAGAAATAACACTTAGACGTGTTTGAATGGCTCCACTGAACACATTTCTGATTTTCCCCATGAAGGAATAGCAAAGCTATGCTAGATGCTGGCTGCTGCATAATTAACACACACTCACACACACACACACACACAGCATCTCTCAGACTACACGGAAACGACTCCAGGTAGAACCCGTGGTGCAGGAACAGATGGAGGGAGTGGAGAGGCCACTTGAACGTAACATAATGAGGCGACACGTATGTGTTTGAAATGAACCTGATGAGATCCTGTCTCACTATTTTCAAAATCAACACCTGTTTTTTTTCCCTCACATTCATGGACACGTTCTCCAAAGTTCTGCAAATGTGTCAGACAACAGCTGTTAACCTGCTGATAAATCACATAAAGTCCATTCAACAGCCAGTCAACATTGCCATCATTACGACGTCTGTTTCAGAGCCGTTTCACTTCAGTAACGTACATTTGAAAGAACGCACATCTGTCTTTTTAATACGACATTTAACACAACTGCTTTAAGACTGAAGACCAGGGATGGACATCAGAACCAGCTTTGAAACACCGGGTTAACCATCAACCGTGTGGTTAATGTCCATGGGACCATAATCAATAAATCCATCGATCGCACGATAAACGAAAATGAAGTCGATAATTTCGCTCCGTCTCCAAACAGAACGTTCACTCTGTGCATCAGTCCCAGTGAAACGAGGACGAGCCAATCGTTTGAAAAGCCGTGGCAACAACAACAGGCAACGCAACAAACGCCGGCGCCGGTGAGCGTGTCTGTAACGAGGGGCGTTCAGGTGCCATTGGAAATGTGAGGATCATAAAAAACCACATTTAGTGCACGTGCATTATTATGACAGCCATCATTATCAACAGAACGTTTGTTCTCAAGGTGATGTTGATGCCTACACAGTGTTTCACTTTGATGAGTTGATTTATTTCCCTCATCTACTAAAGCACCAACACATACTGAACAACAGCCTCCTGCAATGAGTGATTCACGACAGCAGGTGGTGATGGACATGACAGAGAAGGACTCTTGAAATAATCGTGGACAGAAGCAAACACCTCCCCATCTGGAGGAGGCTCTTCACAGACTTTCACACGACTGACCCTCTGACTATCTTTGATGACCCTCGCCTGTCGTTTCCATCAGCGTACACCTGTGTCAGTGCCGATCCTTCACTCTGACACGGATCACACAGCCCAGTCGTCTACAACAGGTGCTGAGGTACAGTAATACACCCTCGCCTGATGCTGCAGCGGCGGCGGTGGCGGCGGCCTGTCTGTTAAAGCACCGTTAAGAACTGAAAGGACTGGACACGGTTTGATCTGATGCTGTGACCAACACTTGACTCCCAGCTGAAAGGACGGAGACCAAATGTACAGTTTCACCAGTCATTGGTTGGAACTGGACGAAGATAAACATATATACATACATATATACATATAGATATACGTATATATGTACATATATACATATGCCTCTGTGTGTATGTGGTCTCTGCTGTGATTGTTTTATGTGATGACATAAAAGAAAACATGTCTTTAATCATATGTCCTTCTGGACGTAGTCAGTCTGTGATCAGATTTCTTTTTTTTTAATCTATTAAATGTATAGGTCTGTAGACCCCCCCCCCCCCCCCCCCCTCACAGCCGCTCTTCTCAGTACTTACAGCCAAATTGGTGAAGTATGTGTTAGTAATGATGAGTTATTGATTTAGTCATCAGCACTTTTCCGTTCCATCCACTTGGAGTAAAGAAAGCAGGTCAAGTTGTCACAATAGTCTGTGGCATAAAATTAAAGAGGAACTTAAAGTGCCGCACTCACACGCACACTTATACATAACAGCTTAACTGTGTTGCAAATGGAGTCTTCTCACTCACAAGGATCCAGTGGCATGGCTGCGTCATAAACCCTGTGGAGTGATAGCACCATAAAGACCAGGAGGACACAGAGTCTGTCTGCTGAGGGTTAGCACCGCTTCACGGCCCCGCTTTAATAAAAGACATGTCAAAAAGCCCTCAGTGTATCAGAAACTATTGAACCCCGAGCCCCGACATCCAACAGGTAAATACTTTGTCCTCCTACGACAACATTTTCAATTAGTCTGCTTTAAAGTCTTTTGTGAACAAATGTTATCATAGTCAATGTGAGTTGGTTATTTCCCTAGGAGCGCTGTAATTATGTTTACTCTCAGCTCGTGCTTCCTTCTCCTAATTGTACATGTTAATACATGGCTGCTCCCTCCTCACTGATGCTGATACAACAGCTTCACACCACGTTACTGCTGCTTGATGAAACTGCCTCACATCACAACCCTGGAGAACATCACGTTGTGTCTTTGGTTTCAAACCCGTCTCACACATGTTCAGGACTGGTTCCTGATTTGCTCATTCATCCGTTGTGCTAAAGCAAGCTGCTCCTGCGGTTTCCCCCCACAGTTCCTTCATCACACATTCTCCGACGGGAGAGAACAAGCAGATGCTAGCGCTCATTGTTGCTTCATTGAGCATGTGCTCCGACGTGACCTGGAAAGATCCGGCAGACCCTCAGAGCCGAGACAGTTATCAAGTTAAATTAGTCCACACACTGAGAGCGGGGGTCAGAGCGTGCAGCGGTGGCAGCGGTGGCAGCGGTGGCAGCGGTGGCAGCGGTGGCAGCTCGCACAGAGCAGTGAGAACACTGGAAAATAAGATACCACTGCAGCAGCAGCAGCAGTAACAGCAGCAGCAACAGCAGCAGCAGCAACAGCAGCAGCAACAGCAGCAGCAGCAGCAACAGCAGCAGCAGCAGTAACAGCATCAGCAGCAGCAGCAGCAGCAGCAACAGCAGGAACAGCAGCAGCAGTAACAGCAGCAGCAACAGCAGCAGCAGCAACAGCAGCAGCAACAGCAGCAGCAGCAACAGCAGCAGCAACAGCAGCAGCAGCAACAGCAGCAGCAACAGCAGCAGCAGCAACAGCAGCAGCAACAGCAGCAGCAGCAGTAACAGCATCAGCAGCAGCAGCAGCAGCAGCAGCAGCAGCAGCAGAGACTCCTCGTTTGTCCCCTCGTTTACAGTGACTGTTGTCAGTTTCCATAATGTGATGTTTTTAAAATGATTTGCTTCTCAGTGTAATAACTGAACATGGCTGCCTTTTTTTTTTGTCTGCTGATTAAATGAAGTTCCTCAGTCAACTTTAATAGAGTAAACAAATCTACACAGGCTCCTGTGGGTCTGAACACAGCGTCAATTAAAATGTCACTGAGTAAAAAGTGTATAAATCAGCTGAGAAGTGAGGACGAAACAGGACAAACGAGCTCCTTCTCCTGAATCCGTGCAGACTGTGGACTAAGGTTCTCTTAGTCCCAGATCTGCTGCGCGGTCTTCGTTGTTTGTTGAATTTAAATGGTGGTGTTCAGATGTTTGACTAAGATCACCGCTGCCTGAGATCCTTCTCTCTTATCCCACTGCCTGCAGTTTGTCTCCAGTTTGTCTTCCAAAATTGGACTAAAAATGTTTTTGTTTTTTTAATCCCACCTTCAGCCATTAGACTTTTTTTCTGCAGTGATTCAGGAGAACACTGAGAGACAATGAGAGAGAGAGAGTTCTGGAAAAGCTGCGTACAATCAAGGAGAGGAAAATGTGTTGGTAGAACCAAACGCTCCTTACTGGTTATCTCACCGTATTATCTTCTGTTACGCTGCAAACCAACACACTGACGTTGGTCAGAACATTTTTCAAGCGTCTCAGTTAATTGCTGAAGGGCTTGGGGAAATGATTATTTACAAACTGCAGCAGATCCGTGAGTGTTTCCATTTCTCAATCGGATGAAGGCGAGAGGCGAACACGCTGATCAGAGATGTTAAATGTGGAGGAGCCAGGGCAGGGATTTTAGCTGATGTCAGTGAAACTCAAGTGCTTTCTGTTCAGCACACACTCGTTATTGTGACTAGTGGGATCACGTTTAACGCACTGTAAAATCAACACGGTTATTTCCATGAAGTTAGTGATTTAATTTTGTTTAACATGGGCAGAAAAGAACTACAGCACTGGAATAATAATCATTTTGTCAAATACAATATATGACACCATAAAAAGAAATGATGGGGTCATACAGATAAAAGGGTGGAGTACGATGTCAAAGTCATTTGACAAGTGCGATGATATTCTACTTGATATTTGGTTTTTGTTTACGAAGCTCTGGCAGAAAAGAGAATTACATGAAGAAAAATGAAGGAGACATTAAAGATTAAAGATGAATAAAAAATATTAAGTCAAAGGATTTTCCTAATTTTTGACTAATTCCAATGAGGGAATTTTTAATATGAAAAAATGTCAAGAGAAAATATGTAAAAGTACAACTCAGAATGTTCACCTAATGTATTGAACCTAATATGGTGGAAGATGGTTGAAGATGTTAGAGTCATTGATGCACACTTTTGTTGGACAGTTTGAACTACAGTTTCTTTTTTGAATATATGAACAAAATATATAAAATAATTTAGATCTGAACTGAAATCACTTTTCAACCCAGGTCTCTGAAAGTTGACCTATGTCATACTCTTCTTCTCCTGCAGGTGGTGGGTCAGATTGATAAACTCACGTCCGACATTGACTTTGACCTGGAGCCAGACGACTGGACAGTGGCCACGGCCAGCAGCACGTCCAGCAGTGAGCGAGGTCTGGGTGAGGCCTTCAGGCTGGACTTTCTCAACACAGACATGCTCTCTGACAGCTGGGAGTTCTGCAGCTACCTGGAAGCCGCCGGCGCCGCGGCCCGCAGACACGGGGAGCAACCAGGAGACCTACGAGCAGACGCTGGTCGAGGGACCATACCCACCCAGACGCAGAGCCCCACACCGCCCCCTACCACTGCCTCCGTCTACTCCCAGATGAACGGCGGGCTGCCCATACCCAACGGGCCTCGAATCATCACGCCGGACTCCTCCAGCGAGGAGGCGAGCAGCTCCACGCACAGTCACAAGACTTCTCGTACCTCGGGCACAAGAGAAAGGGTGCGTTTTAGTGACAAAATTCTGTACCACGCGTTGTGCTGTGATGATGACGAGGAGGAAGAAGAGCAGGACGAGTTACAAGACAAGAGTGGCTGTGCTACGCCAGACGGCGACACCGGGCCCGGCCTCCTGGGCGGCGCCGTCACACCTAAACGTTCTTCCTCTGAGCATTCACTCCTCTATAACTGTCTGGACGCTTCCTACGTCTCGTCGCCAGTGAAGGGAACGACGGGCGCTCACACACTACCCAGGAAAAGTCTCTTAAATCCCGGCTGCCGCAAAAAACTTTTACGAAACAGCAGCACACAAACTGTCTCTGACAAGAGCACCCAGACTGTACTGCCCTATGTTCCAACCAAACAGAAAACGAAGGAGCAGTGAAAAAATGATCATGGATCTCATGAGAAGAGTACTGTACATGATTTAATATTAATTACATAGCTCATAGATTAATACACAAATACTTAATTACTAAATAAATAAATGATATATGGAAAAAACCACTTGACTACCTAATGTCATTCTGAAGCTCAGGGAAAACACAATGACATGAAGTGAAGTTTGAATTTTCTGCTGAATGTTGGTGCCAGTAAACATTTAGAGACAAACAGAAAAAAAAGGCTTTTCCTGTGGAATATTCTGATGAGAAAAAAAAAATTTGGTTTTGGAAATCTAAAAGGCGAGGTGAAAGAAGTTTGACGCCCAGGTCCAAGAGATTCAGTCAAAAAAGAACAAGTGTTCATTTAATGTGTTTCCAATGCTGCACATCCTGTACTGTGAATCTGTACCACATCCTGTTTTCATGTTCATGTTTTCCTCAAGTGTCCAGGGGTTCACTGTTTTCAGCAGATGCAAATTTCCACTGTGTTTTTATTGTCAGCAAATATTTTAAGAGAAGAGCGAGAGGAAACGAGCGAAGAAAAAAGAAAAAAAACAACAATTTATTTGCCCGTGATTTTATAAATCATCTCAATGTAATCTCTTCTCAATGTGGTCTCTTGCCGGTGAACATGTAGGAACATATAGGTGGGAAGAGGAAAACTCAAATATATAGGGTTTATATATATGGGAAGTCCTTTGAAGAAGTGAACTTTTCCATTTTCTATCTTTTCTTTTCCACCGGACTCTGCTGATGCCATCGGGCTCAAGAGTTCTGCTAAATGGCAGCTCTAAAAGTGGCTGAAGGGGTTTGTCTCTCTGTGCATTAACCCAGCGGGGGGTGAACCTGGGGGAGCAGTGTTTCATTCACAGGGCCAACACCAATAGCGATCCGTGATCAATATGTTAGAGGGAGGCTGCGGCTCGAGGTCTCTCAGCTGAGCCTTCCTGCCACTCTCCTGGGAGAAATGAACAAAGGCTCACAGTCAGATTTATTTACTGACACGGAGCGGGAGAAAAATTAGAACTGTGTCCATAAAGGACTGACATTTCACACACACAAAAACGCGTCGAGGACTAAGAGCTGACGTTTCTGTTTAAAGATTTTTTTTAACCAAGCAATAATCCGTCCACGGGGGACGGCTTTGAAAGGCATCTCCCCATGAACACTCCACTCTACTTCCCCAATGTTTTTGTTCCAGTTTGAAAGTTTAAATCCCGTAGTTTCACAGACAAAGACGAAGCTGACCTGTGGTTCACTGAAGTTCTGACGCAGACTTTAAAAGGTCAACCTGCTTTTAAAACATGTGAAATACTCTGACTGTTATGGAAGGAATTACATTTTGGTGTTTTGGCCAACACGGTGCTGAATGTCTCCTATATGTCCTCACTTATATGAAAACACAAAGGCGTTTCTTAATTATCTTCGTGCCTTTAGTAGAAACAAAGTCAAACTCCCACTTTTATTCACTACATAAAAGAGAGACACGGTTTTAAAATGTAAATTTAGCATCAACCAAGGCAGAAACAGGGAAACAAACAAGCAAAAGAAAAAAAGTCAAACCCGACCACCTACGTCTTTATTACTGCAGATTAAGATTATTAGAATATATAAAATTCAACTTCCCTCCAGTTTCACTTTAGTCACAACTAAAGTTTTAAACCCTGGCCTGTTTAGTTGAAGAGAACCCTGAAATACTCTCAGGAATTGAAGAAAAACAGACATGAAGATCTTATACAACAGTAAAACAGTCATTCATCTGTACATCTATGTGAATCACCACGGCTGCTGCTGCAACTACCAGAGGGGCAACTACCAGAGGGGCAACTATGGTGTGCTGCTCCAAAACAACAGAAGAACCAACAGTCGGTTCACAACAAGGACCAGGACTGGACCAGGAGGTATGGACCAGGAGGTATGGACCAGGAGGTATGGACCAGGAGGTATGGACCAGGAGGTATGGACCAGGTGGACCAGGAGGT